CCAGTCCCCCGAAGCCCGGCCGCCGCCTGATTCCTTTCTTAGAGGCTTTTGCCCCTGGGACCACCCACGGGCAGTGCCCCCTCCCTGGAACCTGGTCTGGTCGGAGTACAGGCCATCCCCCCGCGCAGCCTGGCCACCACGGAAGGTGCCCACGAGGCCACCCAGCCCCAGGGGTAGGGGCTGAATGAAATCCTGGTGCCCAGCCCCCAACACCGCCAGCTGTGACCCCTGAGCCCTCCCCACACACCCCCCCCAGGCCTCTCCCTCTAGAGCAGCGGTTCTCAACCTTCCTAAGGCCGAGACCCCTTAATACAGTTCCTCATGTTGTGGTGACCCCCAATTTCATTGTTACAAATTGAACATAATTAAAGCATAGTGATTAATCACAAAAACAATATGTAATTATATGTGTTTTCCGATGGTCTTAGGCGACCCCTGTGAAAGGGTCGTTCGACCCCCCAAAGGGGTCGGGACCCACAGGTTGAGAACCGCTGCTCTAGAGGGCTTGTTTGGGGAGGGAGTACATTCTCGAGAGGCGTCATTCGCACAGTAAATTGCACCGATCTCAATGGGCAGTGAGTTCTTACCATCTAGACTCCTGCGGACACGCCTTCAGGCCCAGCCCCAGCCCCAGCGGCTCCCTCAAAGTCACCCCCACCCCTCCCCACCCTCGCCATCCCTGTGTGGGCTCCTCCCCTTTCTTCAGGGTGGTCTTTTCTGGCTCTCACATACTTGGGGCCCCAGAGGGGCTTTTCCGAGAGTCAGAGAGTCGCTGTCTGGCCACTGCACCTGGCCATGTGGACATGCACTTGCCGTTGGCACAGGTCCCCATGGGGGCGCCTGCTTCTCCTGGGGGTGGTGTCAGGAGCGGAATTGCTGGGTCCCAGGGGCCAGCCTGTCCAGCTCTAGGGGACACGGAGGCCGGGCTGGCTGGGCCACTGGTGAGTTGCCCACCATCTCTGCACCTGCTTCCCGCCCTGGGAGGTGGGGATAGGAGTTCCCCGCTGCAAGCTGCTGCTGGGCCGCGTCCAGGCCACCTCCTGCTCTGGCCGCCGGGAGTGCGTTCGGCCACCCGCCCTGCCCTGGCCGCACGTGCCCAGCCACCACAGGTCTAGGCTCAGCGCCCAGTGGATTTTCTTCCCTCTCAGCCTGGCCAGGCCGCTGCTGCCCCACCGCCCTTGCCTTCATCCATACGCTCCTGCAGAAGCGACCTACACCCTCCCAACACCCCCAGACGAGCGAGCGAGGAGGCATGATCCTTTTATTTTGAAACAGGGACAGTGAGCATGGCCACCCGCCACGCTGACCCGGCACCAGCCACGAGTGGCTATGGGCGGAGCTCATCCTGCCCTGGTTTTCCAGCTGCAGGAGGAGAGGGGATGTGGGCCAGCCTCCCGGGAGGTCAGGCAGGGCCTGGCCGGCCTGCAAGGGCATCCTGAGAGGAGGCGGGGGCTCCTGATGTCGCTGCCCTTTGAAGGTCTCCAGACAGGATCTCGCAATCCTGACGCCCTGGCTGCGGGTGGGGGGGCCGCAGGGGGGTCGGACGGCAGGTGCGGCTAGATGATGCCGTACTGGGCCAGCTCGTGCAGCTCCAGGTGGTTGAAGGCCTCCCACGGGCAGATGACCGTGATGTCTGTGGAGAAGGGCCCGCTGTCCACACCTCCAGTGGGAAGACCCGCCTCCCAGGACACACCAGCTTTGGGGGTGTCGAGTGGACACCCCGCCCAGGAAGACGGTGGGTGCAGCAGGCCCCAGGGAGGGGCAGCAAGGGCTCCTCCTCCTCTCCCAGCCCCTCCAAGCACCCGGTGAAGCCACTTGTTGGAACGACCCCACTTCAGGGGACCTCACCTTTGATGTTGGGGAGAAAATGAAGGACAGGCGGGGGGCGTCCCTAAGTGAGCCTTGGCCGGGGGAAGCCAGAGGAGGCTGGGACCCTGCCTGCTGTGGCAGGTGAGTGGGGAGAACTGGGCGGGACCCGGCATTGTCATACCTGTCCCCAGGCCTTCCATTCCAGGGATGTCGTCCCCAAACCTGCAAGCACAGCGGTCAGGACGGTGGCCACGAAGAGTGGAATGGGGTGGGGGGTGTCTGCCCTTGAATGCAGGTGCCTGAGTGTGGAGTGTAGGGTGTGCAGGTGTCTGAGTGTGGAGTGTGAGGGTGTGCAGGTGCCTGAGTGTGGAGTGTAGGGTGTGCAGGTGCCTGAGTGTGGAGTGTGTGGGTGTGCGGGTGCCTGAGTGTGGAGTGTAGGGTGTGCGGGTGCCTGAGTGTGGAGTGTAGGGTGTGCCTTGCGTGTGCACCTGTGGGCTGTGCGTGTGCGCAGGGACCATGCTGGTGGCTGTGATGGAGTCAAGATGACAGTGAGCCCTCTTTCTGGGCCTGTTTGGCAATAACGCCTGGAGACAGTGACAGGAGCCCCCATCCCCCGCTCCTCTCCCCTCCTGCTGGGAGTGGGGCGCCCTGAGACAGGCCCTGCTCGGGCTCTCCAGACCCCGTAGAGGACAATGGGACCACATCCACCAGCAAAGGATGGCTGAGCCCCCGCCCGGCCTCCCTGCTGGGCCCCTCCAGCCCCTCGAGAGGCGCCCCTTCCCCAGCTCTGCTTACCCTTGGACACCTTTCTTGGGGGGCTTGCTCTTGAACTGCCTGGTTTGCCGCTGCTTAAATTTGGGGGGCCCTTTCCTGGGAGTGACGGGGCCCCCCGTCACCCTGGTGGCCGAGCGGATCTCGGCCTTGGGCGGCTCCAGGTTCATGGCCAGGCTGGCAGAGACCCTGTGGCGACCTTGGGCTTCTGGACTCCCGGACTCCCTCGCGCTGGGCGCTGGGGGCGGAGCAGGTGGGGATCCCAGTCAGCCTCCTGCTTCCAACCCACCAGAGGGAACCCCAAAGTGTGAGGCCTAGGGGCCCTCAGCAGGGCCGACAGCAGCCCCTGCCACCTGCACACAGGGCTGCACTGGGGCCACACGGGAATGCAGTGCTGGAGGCCCCGAGTGTACCCCTCCGCCCTGAGGCTGGGACATGCTGTCTTATTCACCCGGCAGCGCCAATGAAGGGGGACCCGAGAGAAGGGGGCGGGATGCCGGCAGGGAAGGGGCCGGTCTCACAGGAGACGCTGCGCTGAGCTGTGGCAGTGTCTTCCCAGCCGCTCAGTGCTCGGAGCTCCCTGTGGGCGCCAGTGTCACCTGTTGGTGTCCGTGCAACACCGACCAAGTGACCTCCTCTCCTCTCCCCAGAGCCACCCCCGATGGATGCCCTAAGCCCAGTGACCTTGGCCCAGAACAAGGGCAGCTCGGCTTCCTCTAAGCCCATTAGCAGCAGAGGGAGACTAATCCCTCGGCCACTGGGGCCCAGAAGGCTCAGGGCCTAAGCAGGTGACAGACAGGAGTGCGGTGCCCACAGCGCAGGCCCAGGCGCCGTCCCCTGGGTCCCCTTTTTGCCCCCAGTCTGATGGGCTGCAATGCTGGAGTCCAGCCTTGGGCTGCCAACAGCCGCCTGCTGGCTGAGACCAAGTGAGAGGCAAGGACAGGTCGTCCCGCTGGGAAGGAAGGCTCAGTGGTGGGTGCTGGGTGCCTGGGATTGGGGTGGCTCTGCCACGGACCTTCCCTCCCTAAGATTCAGCCTCTGTGCTGAGACCAGAACCAGCCCAGGAGGGTCCCAGGAGGACGGCAGCAGGCCTGGCTGGTCCTTTCCTCAGTCCTGGGCCCCGGGCCTGGCGTGGACAGCTCTGTGCCCCGAGGGAGCTCCAGGAGCAGATGCTGTTCCCATGGAAACTGCTGCCTGAGCTGCCCCTCAAGTTGACTGGGCACGTGAGACCCAGAGCGTCGCTGGCCTGGGGACGGCCTGCACCTCGCTTGACTTGGGGGAGCAGAGGTGACTGGCTGCGCATCCTCTGACCCAGGCCTCAGCGTGGGGTGAAATGCCTGCCTGCTCCCCACCCTCTGCGCAGCCGCCCACTAACACCCTTGGGTGAGGGGCTGCCAGGAAAGGCAACGGGAGGTCACTACTCACCAGGCACTGGGCAGGTCTCAGGGGGCCATCGGTGTGAGGGCGGCCTCCCTCACCAGGGTCAGCGGGCATTTATCCTGCTGCCCGGTAAGCCGATTAGCACTGTCCCCTGACGCCACGCTAATGAGCTTGCCGGGGCCGCTGGGGCGGGCACCAGGGGATGGGAAGGGGCTCAGGTGCGGTCAGGGGCCTGAAGGGAGGGCGAGCTAGGGAGCTAGGGAGCGGCCAGGACAGGGAGGGAAGTGTGATCAGGACAGTGAGCAGGGCAGGACTCTCTCCTGAAGCAGCTCTTCTATGAGACAAAGACAAAGCACAACGCTGCTGCTGTCCTGGCCTCCCCACCTCAGTCCAGTCCCGACGTCCAGAAAACCGCTTTCATGCCCCGGCGTGCTGCCGCCTGCAGGTGGCCCACACAGCAGAGTCAGACCTGGGGACCCCTATGGGCTCTGCGCTGGGAGGTGGACCTGCTGTGTCTCCCGCGTTCCCTGCTGGTGCCCACACAGCACCTTACAAGACCCCATCGGATCCCAGGAGGCATTAGCATCCCCCTTCTTTGGTTTCACATCAAAGAGGCCTGTTTGTCAGCTCAAATCCCTCCTGAAGTCGTGTTACCACCTGAGCTTTTCCCTTCAATGAGGCAATAAACCGGCATAAATTCTTTTAATCCTTGCCCTGCCCAGGCCACTAGCATCGGAGCTTGTGATTGCTGGGGTGGGGGATGAGGTGGGAAATTTCCATGGACGCGGATGAGGGAAGATAGGGATGGGCAGAGAGGGCCCTAAGATAAAGTCCCACTTGGGCCGATGGTCCCAGGGCCAGGTCTGCAGCCAAGGACCAGGCCGGTGTCGGGACGATGGTTCTCGGGTTAATGCCTGAGGCCTCCTAGTCTTCCCCTGGCCACCTGCCTGGGAGGCTGGGCCTAAGTGAGCTGGAAGGACCGCTGGCTCCGTGCTCAGGCCCCTGCAGGCTGATTGGCAGCTGGCTACTTGGCTGGCAGACGGGTGTCTCCTCAAGGACAAACGGGAAACGTTCCGGGCTGCCAAGGGCACCTTCCTGGGAGCAGACAGTCCTCCCTCTGCCCACTGCTGACCTCCGGCAGGACTCCTGGATGCGGGACATGGAAGGGGCCCTGGGCTCAGTGTCATCTGAATATTCAAGGAAACGAGTCTTATTTCACCCACAGGCTGGTGCGGGTGCAGGTGCTCGGGGACCATCTGAGGACACCTGCTCTCCGCCGAGGCCACAGCAGCTGCTCAGACCACAAAGCCTCTCGTCTCAGCAGCAGGGAGCTTATTTATTTCCAGGCGAAGTCGATTCCCACCCGACCCAGGCCCCATGAAGCCGCCCGGGACAGAGGGGCCGCGTGCTGCTGGGCAGGAGCTCGGGCTCCCGCGGGGGAGCTGTCGGCGGGGCCGGGCCGCTCAGCCTCTGCTCCTCAGGCGGAGCTGGATCTCCGTCCGGAGGAAGGCCTTGAGGTTCTCGTCGGCCACGTGCTCCTGCAGGGCGGCCAGGGCCCGCTCCCCGCCGTCCTGGTAGTGCTGCAGCAGCGCCTCTGCGTAGTCCACCCACACGCAGTTGGGGCAGCCGCTCATGCAGCAGTTTGTGGGGGGCTGCAGCTCAGGTGGCGGGGGGTACGGGGCCTCTGAGGTGCTCCCGCCGGGCAGGGAGGACTTAGGATGCCTGGTGCCCCCGGCACCAGCTTGGGAGTCCTCCTCCCCATGGTCCTTCCCGAACTCTCTCCGGCCTTCGCAGACCAGGATCCAGGCACGGTACCTGTGCAGAGTGCTGCCGCCTCCAGGAAGCCCGCGGCACCGCTCCCAGCTGGCGAGGCGGCCTGGCCCCTAAGAACGCAAATAAGCCTATGAGTCTCCAGGAAGCTGTTCAGGCCTGGCCCGGCCGCAGCTCCAGGGGAATCTCGGCCTCTGGGCTGTGGCCGAAGGCTCCGCAGTCTCTCCGCTTCCTCACTTCCCATGTGACCTTAGACAAGTCTAGACTCGGTTTCCACCTGTAACCGGATGTGATGGTTGGCATGACGACATGATGCGACTGAAGAGAAGTGCTGGTTTCAGGGCCTGTCACTGGAATGCATTCCAGCAGATGGAGGGTGGGGGGAAGCTCCGCACCTCCAGCCAAGCCACCTCCCCCTCCACCCAGCACAGAGGGCCCGTGCCCTCTGACCTTCTCACTGACCGCATCACCCGTCGTCCTGTTTCCGTCGCAGGAGAAGCCCGGGCGGCCCGGGTCACCTGCCTCCTCCAGCCCCGGGGCCCCCTCCCCGCTCCACGTGTCTCCAGGGCACTGAAAACCGAGACTCAGCCCGAACTATGTCGCCAGCTCCTGCGAGGACCATAAGCTCCCTGTTCACGGCGGCCTCCCCAAAGAGCTCGCATGCAGCAGGCGCTCCTAGATATGGCCGAGCGGGTGGACGAGCCAGAACCCGCTGGCCCAATCGCAGGGCTCGGCCCAGAAGCAAAGCAGCCCTCCTCGCCGACAGGGAGAGGGCCTAGCAGGAGCAGCACGACGAGCCGACAGGGAGAGTGCCCTGCCCGTCGGCGGCGCGGGCTGCAGCG